AGTTTGTGTCCATCTTACATTTCACAGCTTCTACCTAAAAATACTGCAGTAAAATGATTGGCATGTCCAGAACTACTTAATTTAAAGCTACTTCAGATAGGTCTTTTCTCTGGTCACCATTATATGGATTGTAGTGGACACATAAGCAGAGGAAGATAGAATACATTTGTTTTCTAAGTAAAATAATCTACTCTATCATTTTAGACCCATCTCTTGGACCAAGATAACAACTATTACTCTTGCATTTCACTGCCGCAGAGCTGATTTGGATGCAGTGGATAATGAAAGAGAACTACTACCATGAAACAACATAATCAAAATCATGCCCTTTTTCAGGTGGAGGCAAATAAAACATCCATCACATTGGGCCTTACATTTTTATCATTTTATGTGATTTAAAGTCGAGGTGGTAGATGAAAAATGACTGAAATTTTGGGGGGTTTTGTGTGACCAGATTCAGACCTACCTGAACGATGAAATCAAGTGATTTTATGTACACATAGCTTTAGTGGGAGTCTTTATTAAATATAAAATTAATATAAGCATCAAAATTATACAAAATACTAAATATTAAGATAACCACAAAAAATTTAATATAAAAATGAAAATATATATTTGTTCCTTAAAACATCACATGCATATTTTTTAGTATAATCTGATTCCTATCATATGGTGCTAAATAAAAAAAAAAAAAAAAAAAAAAGGCATGTCACTTCAATTTTGAGTGTCTGTACTTTCCAAGAGCAATTCTTAGAAAATTGCAAGAGGTTAGGTCTAAGGTCATATAGACCTACAGCAGTGGATTTCTTTAAGGTATGAAAGAGAGATCTCAGAATTGCAAGTAATAAATATGGTTTTGATAAGCACTTCTACACAGGAAAATAAGAAATTCCTAAAAAGTTTCCTGTGAAGCACCTTCGTCTTCATGTCCCGTATTACTCCATACTTATAAATAATAAAAAAGGAGACTGATAACAGTAGCTTTATGTAAGCAAGCTTAGAAATCACGCTCAGATAAGTGCTTTTGACCTAAATCTTGTAGCGCCTCGATCTGACATATAACCCCACAACTGTGAAATTCTGTATGAGATTTAGCAGTTTGAAGCTGCCAACTGACCCAGCCATAAAGCAGCCAGAGATAAGGATTTACGGTACGATATGATACAATTAGACATTCACCTCCTATTTATTTCAGTCCATTTCAGTGTTTAACCTATTTAAAAGTTGCAAGCTTTTTATTAAAATGTAAATGCTAGTGTGCTGTATACTTACAGGCAGCTAACAACAACAAGAAAAGACTCTCATAAATTAGATTTCTATGAATGAAAAGGGTAAACAGGAGGTGCTTCTGCAAAACTCTTCTAGACATGCAGAGATAAAGGATGGCTCTACCACACAAAATAATCAGATACAAAAATAGCTGTTCAGAAACAGCACACCTAAGGAGTACTTTAATCAAACATTTAGGTTACCTGCCAAAAGGACCATGATCTCTTCAAAATGCAACGCGGATTAAAGTGTTATCTAACACGAGCAGAAAACTAACCTTGGAGTGGAAGTTCGAAATGTGTTCATCATAATTTTCATGTCTTTGGATAGAGAAACCAGCTTTTTCAGCTAGATTGCAAAACTGGTTTAAAGTATTCCCTCGGAGTGGAGCAAATACCATTGCTTTTCCCTGGAACATTAAAAAGAGAATTTATACATTTTAAAAACTGGAAGAGAACCAGATATAACATACACCTGACTAAGCTTTTAATATGCTTAAGCTGGAAAAGTCAATTGTTCTCTTGGTAAAATACTAAAATACGGTAACACAGTAATTGTTCAAAATATGCAAGATTTCTGTGATTAAACAAACGTAATCTAGAAAGTAATAAATAAATATTTTCTTTAGAAAATTCCCAACTGCCATACATCTGCCTTTTTTCATATAATAATGATGTCTGTGGATTACCAAAATAAAACAGAAAAAGTATACAAAATACACACTCAGTGAAAAATCCATTTGTTAGCTCATGACCACGCAAAGACTGTAAATAATGATTTTCTTTTCTCTCTCACACATAGAAGACTACCTCCCATTCACTGTCAGTGGAATTACTACAATATAAAACAAGGCAAAATGGGAGGCCAATCAAACCTGATCATTAATTTTTCAAAGATATTTTAAACTACCTGAGCAGTGCAACTAAATTTGACCCTAAATTGGTAAACTGCATTTAAAGCAGGAATTAATGTTCTTGAATACTAATTCAGGTTCTTGCAAGATGATCAGGCCATTTATGATGCCGAGGCAACACATTATGGTCCATTACCTAATTTTTTGTTCATCCTTCTGTATTTAAGAAAACAAAAATGACTGTACCTTGGACTGATATATTTTAGACACTCCGTGCAAAGTACTTGCCCAAAACCTAACCTACTTGGTAGAACAACTCTCAGAATCTTATTTGTAAAAATAATTAATTCTAATTGGCTGAATTCTGTGTTCTGTCACATGGAAAGAAAAGTGGTTAAAGAGCTGTAAACAAAGGTTAATATCAGCCAACAGCATATCACACTGAGGGGAGCCACAAAGTTTACTGTGAGTTCCTGTATTTAACTTCTGTGTTAAAGAGAGCTAAGATTAATTTGTGAGGTGCTGTAATCAACCGAAGAGACAAAAAATGTTTTTAGGGAACTAAAAAAGTTATAAAAGGATCAGATGCTGTAGAAGTATATTTAGCTTGAGAAAACGTAATCTCTATAGCACAGGAAAAGGGTGATCAGTACAGAGAATTTCAACAGGAATTCAGGAAAGTTACAACACTGACACAGATACTTAGTGAGAAGAACAGGAAACAAATCTGTGTCTTACACATACATATGTACACCAAAACAATGCACAGTGAAACAGCAATAAAAACGCTACATCAATACATATCGTACCAATGTGTACTTAAAAGATTCCAACCATTAATACCACAGCACTGTATTTATTCTCACAACATCTCTCTGTGAGATAGGGAAGTACTGTTATCCTCATCTTTCTCATGGGAAATTTAAGCACAAAGGAGATTTAGGCCAATACCTAAAGCAACTCAACTTCTGTTCATTTATGTAGCTGTAACTTTAATTCTGTGGCTAAATACGAGGTGCAAAGAGGTGTAACTCTTGTAGAAGGCACTGGAATTGCTTATGTAAATGCTAGCTCTGAATATAGGCTCAGCTCAGGATGAAAAACATCAAACACAGGAAATTCACATTCGGTTCCCTCATATCCTTGGCATGCTTTAATGTCATCAGACAAAAGTGGGCAGCAAAGGGAACCTTTAGCTGAGGAACCTCCTCCTCCTGCTGCCATCTCACACTCCCCAGAATGTTGTTCTGCAGAGACTCTTCCTGGCATAAGAAGGATGAGACTCCTCTGAGTCCCTCATCTTCATGATCACTGTAATGATCACGTGTCCCTCACCCAGGGCTTACTGACTACATGATTCACATGGGGACCTCAGACAGGACTAAACCTCGTGAAAGGGGGCTGCACAGCCTACACTGGCCACAGATCCAGCAGTTCTGATGAGGAAGCAATGCTCAGACAGCAGCACCCCTTCACTCCATTTGGAGTCAACAGTCCATGTGGTCATTCCTTCTCATGTTCTCTGTAGACTACTTCAAATTAAATTTGAAAGAGAAACACAGCAAAATAGAATGTAACACGGTATGAAATATCTCTTAAACTCAGAGAGAAAATCCTGAAATCTTGAAATAACTTCAGAAGAGGGGAATGGCCTGTTATGGAAATCACTACACAGTTACTTTTGGCCAGCTCCTTAGTTGGTGTAAAAACCCATTCATCTGATGACTTTAGTCTGCATCTAAAATACCTGAGGCTCTTGTTCTCACTGATAAAAACCAAGATATCATGATTAAAGTTTAATACCACAATAATCTCCTCAAAACTGGTAGGTACTGTGTTCAATTCTGCTCTATAATAATCTGGGTTTAAAGTACTTTTTTGTCAACTGCCTGATCTCCGTGATTCTGCTACCTGTTGTAGGGCTTCATTCACATTCCTAATTATAAAAAAAATGTGACTTTCATGGGTGTTTTTCATTTCTTGGTTGAGGTACAATAAAAAAATTAGACCAGTAACCTGGTTCTATTCTTCATTGAATACCCCAAGTTTAATTATCATTCAAAAGTGTCTCCCAGGATAATGTTTAAAGGGTGAGGTTGAAAGTTCAAAATGGCCTTTCCTCAGCTGGGAAAATACTTCCATTAAACTTGGGAACACAACTCAGAGCAAAATGTCAGTTATAATAGTTTGAAGTGTCAGTAAAATGCTACAATAAGACAATGGGACAGACGTTCATATTTTGGATGTGACTATGACCAAGTTTACTCATCATCATCATTAAATGCAGTCTTATTTGCTGGTACTAATCACAGCTCAATAGCATCCCGATGACTTCATTGGGATTTTGAATGGATAGGCCTCAGAAGAATCAAAGCCTTGATAAAAAATGGTCTTAATTAGGAAAATATGCAAATAAGCAAATGCTTATTCTGAGATTGAAATTAAAAGTATATTTTAATGACATAAAAAATAAATGTTGGCAAATCAATTCAAGTAGCTTGAGAGAAATAAAATATAGCCATTCAAGCTAAATTTGTTTGATGTAAAATTTCTATGTCTAATTCTTTGAATTGGTTTACAGGTGACATCTGCCTCTGTGACAAAATATAGCCATTCAAGCTAAATTTGTTTGATGTAAAATTTCTATGTCTAATTCTTTGAATTGGTTTACAGGTGACATCTGCCTCTGTGACAAATTCAGATAGAAATTTCAGCCCTCAGTAACTCTGTGAACTGCTTATTTCTGCCTCTGCGAATTTTTGGTCCTGTCTTCCTATGCCAATACAACTGGCCATGGGGTCAATACCATGAATCAGATGACTGAAATGACCAGTCTTGTGTCAAGAAAACCAAAACATTACCCAAAATACAACATTCCATGCCATAAGGATTCTAATAGCCACAAATAACATCCTTAACGAAAAAGGAAATACCACAGATGAATTTTAAACTAACAGTAAGCATAGATTATGTGTTCTGAATTTCTTCTTCAAGACAGCTTTGCAAGGACACCTGTTATTTTCTGTTGACTCCACTTCTTCTTTTGGTATTGTTAGTTATTATTTTCCCCAGACTCTTCTAAACCAAAAAGGAAATGCAACTTCTAAATTTGATACAAAATAATTAATGTAGAAAAGTGAACTTAATCAAAAAAGCTTATGCCTTAGCTTAGGCCTAAACTAATGCCCATAAGCCATTTTTAATTATTGCAACTGGTAAATGAGTTCACTATTAATTTATTTTTCCTTTAGAAGCCAAAGTATAGTGCCATTTAGTAACGTGTCCTCTGGTGTTATCCTTAGATTTGTACAGGTTAACAAAAACAGTAAAATTGATAAATATTTTGTACTCATGACTGTATCTTCTTTTGGGATCTCAAATGAGTATACGCTTATATTTGGGTCTTTCAAACCACAAAAGCATATGTTTGAAGGCATCTCTGTTGAACATGTAATTTTGCACAAAAGAGCTCATTTGAGATGACTGTACTCCCAACTTCTACTCCACAGAATAGTTTGCTGTCCTCTTAGTTATGAATTACAGTAATTTGAAATAATAACTGGATATCCATCCATGTAGCCATTCATGAAGTGGATTAGGCAACTGAGTTTAGTTAAAAAGACAGTTTGGATAGCGGTCCAAAACTCTGCAACAGAAATTCCTGCAAGGAGCAAGAATTTCTTAAGTTAGTTTTGCTGATAAGAAATAGAAACTATGGCCTAAAATGCACAGCAAATAAATGCTATGCTATTAATACAGGCTATGCTATTAATTTCAATGTGCTGAAGCAAGCAAAACTAGGAAGACAGGCGAAAAAAGCCATCTGCCTTTACTCCTCTGTGTTCACAAAGACTGTAGCTCATACGCCCTGAAAAACAAAGGCTTGTAATGAATTTGAATAAGCTGACTGGAGTTAAAAAGTCAGGTCAGTTTTGGTTTAAAGTCAGGTTAACAATTCCTAAATTATTTACATTGTTGCCTAGATGGCAACACTGCTTAAAATTCAGGCCGACTTGCCTTTTAAATCAAATCTCTGGTGGGGCTAACCAGCCCAGCTAAAGAATGTGTGTGTCTGTGTATGCATATACAGAAATATGTGTATATGTGTTTTTGGCACTGTAGAGCACCAGACCACATTTAACTATAAGCAGGAGAGAAAGCAACTGACAGCTCTTCTCCCACTCCAGCTAGAGGCTCCAACCAGGCCACAGTTACCAGTGCACCTCTTCTACACTTTTCCTGCTGCTCATGCTTTTCTTCCTCAGTGTCCTTCCACAGAACCAGTACAGTGGCCTATGGGAATACCTGAAGAACCTGTTTCTGACTTGGATCTGGCCTGAAAATAAATATCTTTTTGTTTTTGTCTTTGGGTTTGGTTTTTTTTTTTTTTTAACTGGGATCAGCTTTGTGTTCCAGATCACCTGTGGTCCCAAAAATTATTACACTTGCACAGGTGTTGGTACATCATAAAAGTCAGAACGCGTCACTCTGGGCAAGAGCTGCTTAACCTCTCCTTACTGCCACTGACAGAAATATCTGGGTAACCTTTTCCTCAGGGTGTCTCCTGTCTTCCTGGCAGCCTTGCCCCACAGCTCATTAAAATAATTCAGTCTTAAGTAACTTGCCTTAGGTCACTCAGGAAAGTCTATGATAGAACCAAGAATAGAAACCTGATCACTCTAAGCAAAGAATGGGATTACTAACATTACTAAAATGACTCCGTTTCTTAAGCCTTTGCATGTTTGGGTCTTCTATTTCTTCTGCAGAGAAAATCTCTTGTACAAAAAGTACAATACAAATTTTAAATAAAGTTTGGAGAATGCATTGTTAGCAGGAAATACTTTTGTTTTGAAATGGAAAGTTTACTTTATTGGAAGATTTGGATGTTAACCATGTGAGATAAAATTCCTGTCTCAAATTCCTACTTAAAACAATTACTTCATGTTTTCTCCTTTTCTCATTTTGCTATATTCCAATTTTTTTGAGATTTGATATTATATATATATTTTATATATGCATATACCAGATTTTTTTGCCTGTTGGTTTCTCTGATTTAAACAGACTAACAGATTTAGATTGATAAAATATTTCCTGAGTGACACTCATGTAGAACATATAATCATTTTATGAAGAGCATAATTTCGCTATTTTCTAAGGTATAAAACATGTAAACACATAGCATACTCAATGAAAAAATATTTTAAGCCACAGCACATGTATAAGGGTTTTTTAATATTTTAAATAAACATAAATGAAAAGAAAAAATATTCTTTCAGAATAAATAAATACACAATGACAAAGGTTACAATTGAAGGGATTAAAAATGACAGAAGCCAACATAAAAACTTTCAATATTGTATTTTACTTTAATATGAAGACATTATTATCAAAGGAAAATACTTGAGAAACGCTTTGATAAAAATAATCTGACGCTATCTTTGAAGCGGTTTCATTTATTTTACTACCCACTGTGTTCCTTATCAGAAGGCCAAGTATAAGAAGTTTCCTAGTTTATGATTAGGAAAGAATCTGATAGATTAGAAGACTCAATTGAAGTTGGACATAATAAGTATTAAAGTATTACATGACATTAATCCTGCCATTCCATTACTCTCTCAATCATTGTGCACAGACTAATTATTCTGAAGCCAGTGTTCAGGAGAAAATAGAAACATACTTACACTGGGTTGGAGTAATCTCTTTATTGCATCAACAAGGCTAGCTCTGTACTGGTCCAGAAACAGGCTGACATTGAGAAGAGAACAGAATCCAGATTAAAATGGGTTTTCAATTCTAATGATACTAATGCAGATAAGTACAAGGCTAATTACATATGTTTACACAATGCTGTAAAAGAGAAACTGTGGTCTACATTTCTATCCAGTGCAGGCTCTTTTACATTAGAAATACATAAAACCAAATACAATCTAAACCAAAGCTAAATTATCAGCATGAAATAGCTCTTCATATAGCTGAAATTCACTGATCACACATGCTAGCTCTTAAAATAGTACTGTATCAGAAATGAGGATCAATATAAAAAGTTGGCATTTTACATATTTTTTTTATACAAGGGGGTGGGAGTTTTTTAAAGTGTTTTCTCTTGTATTTCAGGTGTTACTATTAAGGGTATTTTTTTTCCTTTTACTTTCACAGTTTTGGCGTTAATTCTTACTTAGTAAGCATATTTGTTATATTTATATATCTATCTCTATCTATCCCCATAAAGATTTACAGGATCTTACCTCCTCTCTCTCTCACTGTTCAAATACAATGGCCTAGATTGTACAGAGTTGTCATCTCTCAAGAGTGCAATCCTTCATCTCCAGCATGGGTCCCGCAAGGATAGCAGCAGAGTCAATTTTCCCATGCAATGTTGCCAACACGCTCAGCCCTATTTTGGTGTGATTACCTCATGATTTGAGGGGATAATTCATTCTTCATGCCCCTCAGTACCTTAATGTATATACTAATAGTGGCAACCAGGGTGCCAATCACTCTTGACTAGATATTTGTGGACATGTAGTTACTGTGGATGAGTGCATTTACAATGGTTAGTGAACAACCATCTGATAGCAACTGATGCCTTTCAGTCCTTACTACTGTGGGCTGCATTTATATTGGTGATTCAGATAAGAAACTCTATCAAGCAGGCCACAGATAACGCGATTTTTTTTTTCTTCTTTTTTTCTTCCCCCACATTTTCTCTGTAATAAAACTGCTTCCCAGCTTGTGTCAAGTTCAAGTTTAAGACTACATGGCATTTTGTCCATTCTCTATGTTTTTTTCCTATACTCCCCTTCCTTTTATTCTCAAACTTCTTTTCTGAAAAGATGCAGGTAATTTTTTTTTTCCAGGTTAGAATTTCTAAAAGAACATGAAGACTATATGGAAACTCTAAAGAGAAAAAAAGTAATCTACCAACCACAGGCCTCTCATCAAGAACAGAAGATGTGTAGATATTTAGGTAAGGACACTCCACAGCTACCAAGGAGGATATAATATTACATATCATAGAGTCAAGCAGCTGTTTAAGAGCTGTGAAGTTTTGCTACTCGGGAATAAAAAACCAAAAAAGTCTATCAGAAAACTTTAAGTTTCATCTGTAAAAACTGGCAGAACCTCACAATGTTGAGAAAATATGGTAGAATGGGTATCTACATACATCTTAAAGAACATTTAATAGAGAAGTATGACCTCCTGAATTTCTTCTCAGGAATATGAAGTACTAGCTATCAGCTTCTCTGATAGCCTGGCTCACAAGAAAATTTAAACTTGTGCATGATGGCTCCCCCTCAGTCTTGATTCATCCTACTGGAAGAACCCTATTGAAAAAATGTGTGTTAAATTTAATTCATTGAAAGAGCAGCTCTTATATCTGATGTCTCTTGGGTGTTTTAATGACATTCACCTCAGGTTGATCCCTATACAGATAGATGTCATGAGACTCTACTTCACTGGGAACTTAACAACCTGCAGAAAAAGTGGAATACATGAGTCCTCTCCCAAAAGAATAACTTAAAGTAATTAATTTTCTTCAACATCACCACAAGTACTCATACATTTAAGACTTCCTGGGATCCTGTGTAAACAGAAGTACATTCCAAACGAAAAGTGCATTTATACTATTTTTATTATTGAAAGTAGTGTAGTGGAAACACAATCTTGGGGCAGCTTACTAGTGTTAAAATCTCTTTTTCATGGACCTGAATACCATTCTCTCTTTTTACAATGAGATAGGGGCACAACTGCTGCTACCAATCTTGTTCCTTCACAATGAGAACTACAGGCCTTTGTCCACCAAAAACTGAGAACTGAGTGCCTGAGAACTTTAAAGGGTTACATGACCTGCTAGATTAGACAACTTCAATAATACCTTTTCTGTCCAACCCCAGCTGACATTTTAGTGGTATGGGAGGTAAACTCTTAGCCCTCTTACCTTAGGAAACCTAGATAACCTGAGACAGTTGTCCCAAGTTGTCCCTGCCCTCCAAAAGGCCTCTCCCTGGGAACATGACCTACTTAATCGAACACAGTTTGATATTGTGATTTCCAAACTGTTGCTCTGTGAGCCATGCACTCTGACCAGAAGGAGCAGAGAAGACTGGAAGCAATGCTAATGCAATGCAGTGACTCCAGGGAACATCTCTGTCCTCCACCTGAGTCAGGGGATGCTTTGAATGAGGAAAATCGTGAACAAGTCATTAGATAATCTATGCTGCAGACAGGAACAGCATAGGATTTGGCCCACGCAAGGGGATTTAGTCACGCAATTTCTCTTACCGGTAGAATTTGTATGACTAAATATTACCACAGCACACTGAAAATGTACCCCAAAGCATCCTTCAAAGCTCACAGCACACGCGTTCTGTGCGTGTAGCCTGCTCTAGGTGACCCTGCCTTGGCAGGGGCATTGGACTAGATGATCTCCAGAGGTCCCTTCCAACCCTAACAATTCTGTGATTCTGTGAACCACTGAGTAAAATTAAATAATGTATTGTTCCAAACCATTCATGCTCAGTTCTCACACCTCAGTTCAAATTTGGCTTAGCTTGCCATGTTTACACAGCGAGGACACTGTGAAAGCAGCAGCTCAGGACAGGAATAGCAAGGTTTTCTTGGGTCAGCAAGGAAGCTTTGAATCACAGCACTAGAGAGGTGAGAACACAGTTGATGATCTGGTCTTTGTTTAGGCAATGCTCTTAACCTGTGAAATCTTGATGAACAGGCAGGCAACCTTGTCACCTCTCTTCTCTTATTCTTTTTTTACATTTTAAATTACCATTAAAAAAAAAAAAGTTTATACCAAAACTGTACAGAAGTAATAACAGTAAGCCACAAGGAATCAAATAAAAAACCCAAGTAGATTCTCAGTTTGCTTCATGGTGATATTTGTTTCATGCTGAACATATCTTTCTTTTTGTGTGCTTTGCAATTGTTAAAAGAGATGGGTTTAGAGGTGTACTTCAGACACTATTAAATGTGTAGTGTCTAATGTGCAGAGCCATTTATCCTTTTGTTTGTCTTCAACTACATGGATGATATAAACTGAAAAAACCCCTTACTTCCATGTGGTCAGGTTCCAATGCACTTGAAAGTGTGTGCAAGAAATCAGGCCTAAAAGGAATAATAAGTTTAAATGGAAGAAGGACAGAGGCCTTACTGCATTCTGGCAAAAAGATCTCCTTATAATTAGTGAAATAAACTAATAGACACAAAATAACGTATTTTAAGGTATTTAAAGAATATTTTCAGTTCAGCTCTACATTCCTGGTGAAGCCACAACGCCCCATGACTTCAGCAAAAATCTCAGCAGTGAAAGTAATGTGGGATAGCTCCCCCTGGCCTCTGTCGTGTGAACACTTATGCATGTGCCAAACTTCAGGAACACAATCACTGTAAGTAAATAATAAATATTATGCATTTCCAACAATATGGGGGTATAAACCTTATACCACCTCCACATTAAATTATTTGTGAAAACTTGTTTTACAATAAAGTGAAAGATAAAGATTTTTTTATTGTCTCAGTCCTACTGGCTTTGACTCTCTCTTTGAACTAAAAAGATCAGAATTTTTTTCTCAATAAAGGGAAGTATATACACTATTTCAATAATCAGAAATTTGAGGCTCACAAGAGCCTTGGAAGAGTCTTTGTTTTGGCCTGTCCATAGAGGCATCTGTTATTTCTCCTCTTCTATTCATACTCACAATTCCAGAACCTGTAGGACTTTATATCCACAAGTGTAGGTCAAATGAAAGTAAAAAATTCTGGAAGCTCTCACCTGGCCCTAAAATTCCCCCTCAAAAATATGAGATGGGTGGATATACTTTAAAGATTCTGTTATTTCACTATTTTTTCACTGTATCCTCCTTTCAGGTGCAGCCTCACCAAGATTTTTTTTCCTTATTTTTATCTCATAGTTGACATTTTACAATTTTACAAATTATTTCGGACCTGCTGAACCATGAAACTATTTTTATTGTCAAAATCCTGAATGGTTAAATAATGGTTAGCTTTCACAGTTTGCCTCTTATTTATTTTATAATCTAGTTGAGCTACTAAATTTAGCTGTTAACTAATAGACTGTTTGTTCTGGGAAATAACTTATTTTCCACTCCTGTACACAAGGTTTATGAAAGTCTGACTGTAAATATATGAATATAAACATATCCCTGCTTGCTGTAATCATGTACATTTTTCCTTGAATCTCCATGTGGATTTGGAATATGTTTATGAATAGAGCTTGTTTTCATGTAAATGGGATCAAGCAGTACCACTGGTTAGCTATTCAGAGAATCAGACAATATCACCCTTGCTGGAAATACTTCAATAAAAATTTATCCATGTACCTAATATTTGAACTCCGATTTTTTGCTTTTTAGTTCTCTGTTCTAATCTCAGATTTTATTGACTGACAATGAGCTATATGATGGTGTTAAACTAAATGCAATCTATTCTATCTGTTTTTATCACTGCATACTTCAGGTTTCAGCCGAGGAGCTAGAAGAAAAGGGATTTTTTTTTTTTTCCCCTCTTCAATGGCAGCCCAAAAAATTCAGAGAGCAAAAATCCTGCCAACTGTTCTCAAACCGATTCTGTATCTCAGAAGAGAAGTACATGAAAATGAAAAGATGATTTGAGTTTGATAAAGCATGGAACATTTCTTTCCCCAGCCTTTTCATGTACCAGAAAATCTAGTGTCCATAACTAAAAGAATGATTTCTAAAAGAAACAAACAATGAAGGGATTTTCATGCTTATTAGACTATATATATATGGGCACCTGCAATAAGAAAATGCAGATAATTTGTGAATAAAATCACATACGTTAGACGAACCTGCACATTTCTATTTATTTTTTAGAAATCTATAAATATTTATACACTTACCTGCATCTTAAGTGCTTCAAAATAAATGTACAAAATGCAGGGATTGCAAATGCATTATGTATTTTACCTGTCATGTTTGATTCTTTGTTTCCTAAAGAAACTACACTATTTCCAAACAGACTGGGAGGAGTATTAGGCACCAATATTACTGAAAAAAACAACTTAAGTCTTGCTCCACTCTGCTGTACTCCCAGCACAAATAGGATGACATGGTGTGAGTATCAAGAATACAAGAGAAGGCACAGCCAGGTTGTTTTGATATTTGTGTGAAGAACAAATTTAACTCTAAATCTCTTGGCAAGACCTTGCTTCACCCACATAATCTGGAGAACATCCATATGTGAGCCTTGTCTAAGCCTCCGAGAAGACTGCTGTCCTCCTGCTCATGTCCGCCAGCACTCTGATCTGACTTTCATACTTAATCTGATCTAATCCTGTCCAGCATTAACTTCATCTGTGCAATGAAACCTGGAGTATCCATTCTAATATTTGGTGAGGAAGGCATTTACTAAATTACTTGCTGAAATCATATGGTGTTGTTTAGCTCCTTATTTTAATCAGATGATGCATCTCTGAGGCACATTATCAGCGATTAGTTAGAAACCCTTCTCTGTCCTTTTTGGGAACAAAGAACTTTTCAGAAATTAAATTCTAAGAGAAACGAAGCACTGTTGCATTCTGTCAACAAATAAGTATTAGAAAATGGCAAAAAGATCACTAAATACACTTTCTCCAGTGCTATACAAAACCAATAACTTTGGTAAGAAGAGTTTCCCTTAATATCAAAATATGAAAGGAAAAAAAAAAAGCTTTAGCTTTAGCTTTTTTTTTTATAAGAAGCCACTTAAAAAAGAACATTGTTTAAAAAGACAATAGACAGCTTCATACTTCCCTTTGCCTTTTCCTTTAACTATTTCTTAGTAAGGTACAGAAATTTGCTGAACTGAGCTGTCCTAGCAAGTCCCTTTTTTCAGAATTTGGTCTCTCACAACAGTTACATACCACAAAACATAAACAGCTCTTTTTTTGTTTTGGACATTTAAAGGGTCAAGAGCAAATATCCAAGAAGGGAAACAGATTTGTTTAAAAACATCTAGTCTGCTAAATAAAATTTGCACAGCTCTTTTTTTACACTGTCTACATCTCTATAACACAAACTATTAATAATGTACCATTTTTAAAGCTGGCATGCAGCAAATATAGCACAGCACAATCCCAAAAATGCAGTATCAGAAAAGGGTTGTGTCAATAATCAAATCTATTTGCATAAATTATTAAACAATACACCATAATGCAACATGTATCTACCTTTCATAAATTAAGAGCAGTACTCTGATTTTTCTTACTATGAATTATCTTATAGTTAACATGTGCCTGTATAAATAATATAAAGCCTATATCTACAAATATTGATGCCAAATTGATTTAAGGAACAGAATGTAGTGGTGGGGAAAAAGAGATTTGAAAATCTCTTTTTCCTTAGAAAGATATTCCAGGGAGCAAAAAATATATCCCCTTATATCAATAGTCAGATCTTTCCTAAGAAGTAAGCTAATTGAGCTGTTTGTGTTGATAAACTCCCTTTTCTCCAGACTGTTCCTCACTGAGCCATAATTATTTGCAATTTGCCTAAGTCGTCCATTTACTGATACGTCAAGCATGAAACAGAGGCAATTCCAGAAAATGGAAATGCTTCTCAAAATCAATCTTTGGGAAATAATGTGGTAGAAGTTACTGTGTGATAGAAGACTACCTTATAACTGTCACATGGAGATGAATATTAATTTGTTGAGGTTAAGGTGGCTTTGTGCTTCATTTGTTGACTTTGCTTAGCCATCAGCAAGCAGCACAGTACAATTACTCCAGCAAAGCTATTTTTCTAACATGAGTTTTATGATTTTTATGTACTTACCAGTCAGCACACATAACAATGTCAAAATGTCCTTCCAGTTGAGAGACATCTGTCTCATTATCCCATCGTAGAATGCTAGAGGAAAAAAAGATTTAAAATAAAAAACAAAAAAGGACTTACATTTTTCATCTGGAGATTTTTAAAGTACTAATACTATTCTTATGTGACACCGAAGTGTTTTAAAAAGCGCACACTTGTTACTTTCAAAGATGACGGTAAAAATCATATTCTGTACATTTTTTAAGGTTTTAAATCTCAAAGCTAAAGAGCTATTTTTCATTATAACAGAAAGGCAATCCACACAGGTTCTGATGAGTGTATCATCAACAAACACGCCTTTCTGAATTAGTGGCACATGCACAGCTTCAGATTTTTACCCCTTAACACTACTACACGAAGAAGTGAAGTCAAAGTATTGACAATCTGAATGAAACATGAATCTGCAGGATAGATGTGAATTCATGGATCTCTGTTGCATCTGGCAGGCAAGTCGGTTGTGTTTCTCATTGATGAAGTGAGCATTCACTTGGGCTGAAGGGAGGAGGGACAGGGTGAAAAAATGCCAAGCTTAACTTCAATGCCAGCTATGTTGCCTCAGGCAAGCTTAAAAATACAGCAGTGCTGACTCTGTCAACACCTATTCTCTCATAGGTGATAAGCTATTTAATTCTAAGGTACTCAGTAGTAGGCAAAAATTCACATATGTACAAAGTTCTTTTTTTTGTTGATAAATGCTGCTGATTTATGTAGCTGCCACAAAGAATTTCAGTACTTTACTCCCATCTAAAAAAATAGCAACTAGTATTGGAATGTACTGCATACTTTAAATATCATTACCCCGAAGATTTGAAGCTGCATTTCTATTTCTAGGCTATTTTTAAAAAGGAATCTATCCTTCTTTTTCATTTCCTGGTTATTTATAATAGAAAGTAGATAAATATTTATAGGAAAAGCACTCATGGGGGAAGGATCTAATCTGATCTTGTCAGGTTGTGCATGCTTATCTCAGTTTTGTATGAGTCTTGACCAAATAGACCCTTTAGTCTTCCCGCAGCTATAATCTACTTCTGGTTAAAAGCCATCTCCATTCACATCCTACTCCTAATATTTAACCGAGGATCAGTTTATAATGTGTTCATTCAGAAATGTTCTCTAAGTATACAGGAAAAAAAAGGGAATTTTGTACACTGATATATTGTATGCAAAAAAGGTTCATAAATATGTAGATAAATAGATACAGAGAATTAAGGTACCACAATGTGCAAAGACAAAAAAATTGGAGACAGAATGCTTTTAAAACATGGAAATTATGAAAGGACAGGCCCAGTTGGTTGGGAAAGCTTTGGTTATGTGGGGCTCAAGGTAACTGAACAGATCAGGACTCATTAGCCCATTTGCCCTCCTGGAATTTACTGTGACAATCCAAAGACAGAAAAGAGTAGATTAATTTAATTTTTCCTCCTCAAATTGAAAGTAATCCAGATTTTAGAAGCCTAGGTAGCTTTGCACACTGGCACGCAGCAGGCATCCAGTAGTGGAAAGTGACAAAGGAGAGTTCTCACTCTCAGCTGCTGGCTGCCTGCTGGCTACCAGCAGCTTTTTCAACCCTGTTTCCGTGGAAACTTAGGTTAGAATGGTGAAAATTAGGTAAAGGTAAGTTTTGTGGGTTTAAAGCACGCACTCTAATACTTTAAGAATCCTGAAGCAGAACTGGAAATTGGTAGAAGAACTGTGAGCCTTAAAAGGCCACCTTTGGTTCTCATTGCTGCAGAAACAGAGATCTGATCAGTATGACTATAGAGATTTGAATTATGATTTTTTTAACCCACATACTTACTATGTTTCACACATGCAGTTTGGAAGGCAGTATAGGTGCCTCCTCCTGAAAAAAAACAAAACAAAACAAAACAAAAAACCCCAAAAAACCCCACCAACCCTCCCTTATGTTACTGTCAGGTTTCTGCTGAGCAGCCAAAACAGAGTTTTCTGTGCACACCTGCTGTAGGCAAGAGGAGTTTGTGTGGGTAGGTAAAAGCTCATAAACCATGGTGCTGAGCAAAATATGGAACTGACAGGTTGCCAGGAGCATGAGCAGTGGTGCAACATGACTGGCATGTGTACTGTGAGAAGGAGTGAGCTAAGGGCCGTACACCCTTCTCCATTTTCCTGATCCAGAACCAGGGATGCTTTTGGTCTCTAGCTTCAGTATAGTTGCTTTCCTGAAGACATCACAATTATGCAAAGGCCAATGACAAATTTACACACAAGATTTTTTAAATCAACTTTGCCACAAATTTTCTAAAAGTACAGAAAAAACTTTATTGCTGTGGGGAAACAGAAGTTAATTTCTATAAAAGAAATACCAAGAGGACTCAACCTGATAACCACGTAAACTAAAGATAATTTCTCTAAAATAAACACCAGTAGGACTCATCCTGATCTCTCTCAGAGAGTATGCACAATGATGGGAGAGATGGCACTACAAGCTGTATGTATTTAACCTTGCTATCTTTAGCTAAGTGCAAGTATGACTAGTAAGGGAGGTGCAGCCAGGGGATGTGTAGTGTGGTACTGGCAGCAACCTTCAAAGCTGTTTCAGTAGCTAACTCTGGGCTACCCTATCTATTTAATGCTTCCACAGATATGCAGGAGCTGCAATGGAACATCTGCACCTGCACCTGTAAAGCAGACACGCCCTCGCATACCAGGGAAACGGGATCAATTCTGCTCAGAGTCAACACTATTACATCATTAACACTGATGTCAGAATCAGCCTGATTCTGAATCAGCTATTTTGAATTCTAGTGGTAATGAAAGCAGTGAATCGGACTAGCCATACAAGTTCTTGTAATCCAAGCACAATTCCTGGGTGTAAAGTACAGAAAAACCCAGTAATATAGCAAAACAACCCTGAAAAAGGCAAAGAAGTGTATCTGAGCATGAATCCACGTGTAGTAAGGGGGCAGGGAACAATAACTTTTTTACGAATAACTGAGGACGTGACTCTTGGATTTAGTGGTCAGACCTGAAAGAAATACTGAAGGCATCATGAAGTAAGGACTGATTGCATTTCCATTTAAAGAAAAGCACTGCTAGGAAACCTAGAAAAGTGGTAGCAACAGAAATCTGAAAATCTCAGGTTTTATGAAATTTCCTTTAAAAAAATAGAAGTGTAAAAACACCACAGCACAAAAAGTCTCTTAAATCACATGTATCATGTTGAGTGCCAACATGAAGAAAATGCAAGCCTTGTTAATATTTCCCTCTTGTTCCTTTCGTGATGCTAAAGCAGTTGACATAAGCCATTTTCTTTCTGAAGCCACTTTTCTTTCAGCAAAGTAAGTTTTAAAGCTATAATATTTTTATGCCTTTCTTTTAAGGAAGGTGTTACAGTACTAACAACTGAAATAATTTTGTAAATTTGAAAAATATGCTTCAGTTTCTGTTTCTGTCCAAGCCACACCTTCAATGGCTTTTTTGTAAAAAAACCCCAAACAACAAACCAACATATTTAATGTTGTGTAAAGCCCACTCTTGATATTATTTTGTGCTGGTTTATTTAACTGATGCAGGTTTAGTTTCTTACAATTGAAAATAGGCAACTAAGTTTCAGCAGACAAAGGTCTGAAACACAGCAGAAATACAAAACAGTTGGGAGCTTTTTTTGGCTACAAGAAGAACATTAAAAATGAAATAGGATGCGAGGGAAAAACACTACAGCACTGTTTAGCTACTAGTTGGGTCAAAGTGATAGTGGCTGAAACTTGGTACCCACAAATGTCTATTTTACGGCCTGTATCAAATGAATTTCACCAGCTTTCAGAGGAGAAGTACCCATGTCACAAACCAATTACTAAAATTAGCAATCTTGATGGTACTCCTAGCAAAAAGGACAAGGACTGAATGAGCTATGGAGAATGAACTACCCTCTCACATGCAGAGGTGGCTTTTCCAGGTCAGGGATAAAGCATACTATCAAAATAGGCTGAGAAAAGATGTACTGATGCTTTAGTTTCCTAGGCTGTCAACCTTACACCACTCTAAAGCAAGAAATTCAGCAAGAAAACCCACACAACACAAACAATCAAAGCAATTCTTCCTTCTCCCCCTCCCCGCAATTTATCTCATATTGACAAGCAAACCAGAAAATGTGATTAGATCAAGATGGAAGAATTACGATAATAGAACAAAAAGATCAAGTAAGAAAATAGAGACTTTATGAAAAAAATGTACCTCCAAATAGCCCCACGTATTTGAAAGAAAAAAAGCACAAGAAAATTGCAAATGTTGCAGGGATAGTTACAGCAGCCAAGGTTTCCCCGGTATAGTAATTCTAATTTAGGGAGGATAGTCTGACATATGTCGACACTCTTTTCCTTACACTGGTAAAGTATCTCAGCAATCTACAACAAAAGACCTGATTCTACCAGGTTTTTATTTCTCATGCAAAATTCTTCATTACTATTATTATTCAACTTCTGTTATTCAGTGTTTGTCTTCCTAGTATGTCTAGGCAGGTAACTTCTATGAGAAAAAACAGGTTAAGTCTCTGATTGTTAAAACTTGAAACATTTCCAAGTCCCTCTGAGATGTTCTTGTGATGAATGGCACAGGCTAGAGTAGCTCTCATATTGTAGTTGTGCACATAAAGACAAAAAATCAAAATTAAAAGAAAAGGACAAAAGACACAAAAGCCTTACTTGCTTCAAAATGTATTAGTATTTTTAATAAGGATTTAAAAAATAGTCCCAATTAGCAGATGAGCAGCTACCAAGAACCCCTATCTGCCCACCTCTTCTTTTGATATTTTAATTTAGGCTTCAGTCTTTGAAAAGCATTATCATTGGAAAGTATACAGGTTCAGGTGAAAGATTTTGTCTGGGGGTTTATATGACTTTTTCTATGACATTAACCAAGCAAGTTCATTAACACATTAACAAAAGGCATCATCAGGATGTTTCTCCACATCATGATCTCTGTTTGAGATTCCTTAGTTTTGTATAAAGATCAAGAAGATGGATTTTAATCTAGCAATAAGAGGAAATGTGTACGCCTATCATTACAACTCCTCTGAG